AAGGTAAGGTCTGGCCGACGACACATTAATTAATTTTTTAAGGTTGCAACCACTAAAAAAAAACTATCTACGGCTAGACAGCAAAAAAATTTAAGTTCGCCCGAGCAGGGACTTGAACCCTGGACCCTTGGATTAAAAGTCCAATGCTCTACCGACTGAGCTACCCGGGCACGGCAGGAGCTGCCGGCAAAAGTTCCAGCCATAAAAAGGACAAGGCACAGAGGTAACTCGTCCTTTATAGCTTGGATGTTAAAACATACCTGTTCAAGGAATGTAAATCGTAATAAAAGAATGTATTCTATGACCTCTACCCAGTGGATTAATAATTTCCCTGCAGTACTGCGCGCTGGTTCGTAGCTGGTGAAATAAGCGCTTACCAGCAGACCACCCCTACTTACCCATCGGGCCCAAGCAATGCGATCTTTCATTTCCGTTTTTGTATGAAATGTCCGCAAATAGGGTCAATCGTCACCGTGTCGTATACCCAGGAACTAGTGAAATAGTGCCCCAGTGCCCCATATTAAGGGAAGTAATGTAAGTACTTACATGGGACCCCATAGAACGGTCGGTAATGTAAGTACCCATTATTAATTAAAAAATAATAGAAGTAACCATTGTTGAAATGCATTATTAATTTACTTATTTTTTATTTTTAAATAAATACATTTTCTTCATTTTTTTTGTTAACGCTAGAGTTTTTAAAGTGCCTCTTTTTTTGGAGCTGCAAGGCCTTTCGCAGCTGGTCCTCAGCTGACCCAATACCTCCAACTGAATTTATAGAATCTGGGAATAAGAAAAATTTAATGATTATTAATCTTAATTTAAATTTAACAGTCCTGATTATAAATACCTACCAATCATAACACCATAGAAATCTATTTTCTTTTTTAAGGCCGCTTTCCCCTGAACACCATCTACATATATTATAAGCCACAACCACCTCATTAGCCATAACATTTCTCAGATTTTTTAAAATTCCGCCATTGACAATTATGTTTTTTATTGCATCCATCTGTAAACGAAATAAATACGAATTGCGGTTAAAAGAAAATTTTATATTTAATATAATTAGTTTTACTTACCAATTAATTTGCGTTTGCTCCGCTTCTCTCCACTCAACTGCAATGCTTAGAATAATTTTGACAACCGGCAAACACAAATGCGTTTCAGCGAAAGAACGGCGCAACATAAATAGATCTAACTGTAATCGAAGTTATGCTTTCAACTTTTACTTTGCCCTTTTGCTCAAAATATCAAAAAAAAAGGCGATGCTTATTTTTTTTTATTATGAATTTTCGTTTATGCTTTCGTGTGCATACATATTTCTATTAGGTGGTTCGGCGTTCGATAACCCTAGGGTCACCAAAGTAAGTACCCATGTAGAATCCAGCTAGTAGCTGGTTCGCAGCTCGTTTACCGTAGGGTCAGTATAGTAACCGACGAAGTAAGCAACTACGCAAGGCAGGGTGGTTCGCAGCTCGTTTACCGTAGGGTCAGTATAGTAAGTACCCATATAGTAACCGACGAAGTAAGCAACTACGCAAGGCAGGGTGGTTCGCAGCTCGTTTACCGTAGGGTCAGTATAGTAAGTACCCATATAGTAACCGACGAAGTAAGCAATTGCTGTTCTTCACGAAGTTTTCGAAGAGTTGGTAAAGTCGGCAAATAGCTCGGCTCTGGGTCGTCCTCATTCATGTCCATAGTGGCTTCCTTTCTCCACAATGCCGCTTTTTTCAAAATCAATTCCTCTCCGATTTGAATCAGTGATGCCAATTTGTCCTTTTTCCGGACAGATCTGTCCTGTTTTTAACCCTTCATCCGGACAAAAATTGAAAATCATCCGCATACCTGAAATCTGTCCTTTTTTTTAGAATTTTTCATCCGGAAATCTGTCCTTTTATAAAATCAAATATTATTTACTTTTAAAAAGGGTAAATTCTGCCTATTTTAAATATATTTTCAATAAATTCTAAGATTAAAAGCAAAATAATTTCACAATATTCCAATATTCACCTAATAAATTGGGAAAATATTGAAAATACTTTAACATTTTGGTCAGAAGGGAAGCGGTATCGGGATTCTGCAGGCAACAACCCCTATGAGGACCTCTCAGTCTGCTTTCATTACCATGGTCAAATGCTGAGGTAGAGTTTTTAGCCAAGTAAACTTGGTGAAAACCAAAATTAGGAACCGTTTGGAGGTAGATTCATTAAATGCCATTTTGGCAAACAGGTATACATACATATATTTTCAAAAGCTTACCGCTTATAAATACATGTATGTATGTACATGTGTTCTTTCTTGAGATTTGGATTGCGTCGTCATAAATTATGTTGTCATAATTATAACTTGCCTGAAAAGTCTCTCCAATTAATTGGCTCCATGCCTACTTATGAGGACAGCAATAATGACGAAGGAAAAATAATCAAAGATGCCTTAAAACTATTATTTTAATAATAAAAAATAAAATTACTGTAAAAAAACTTTTTGTCCTTTTTTTTTTATCCTTTTTATAATATTTTCATCATATTTTTCCCGTTTTTTTTTTCTCAATCTGTCCTTTTTTTTTCGAAAAAATTTTGGCATCGCTGATTTGAATTCTCCTGGATTCAGTGCACTTCCGATTTTATAGTGAGGAATACCGATATGGTGATGCCACAGTCCAAATCCGGTTCAGTAAGGCAGTGAATTGAGTTACACTCACTGCAGCGACCTTTAATTTGAAGGCAGATACTGTCCGCTTTTCCAGATAATTTGGCCCGTTTAAATTTAAAAGCACAAGGAATCGGAACTTTTTCGTACAGCTGTTTGGCAACTATGTATATCCGTCCAGTAATTTTGCAGATTGTTCCTTGACCGCAAATCCTTGTCCTGATCGGCTGTTGGGGCAATCGATTTCCAAACTTCTTGGTCTATGTGCAGGTTCAAATAAATTGTGGTGAGGGGTCCATTCTTTGGAGCATCAGTGACCTGGAATTCAGGGTCCTCATCAGGTGCTGTGCAATCCATGGTACTGTTGGCAGTGATATCCGAGTGCGCTAAGCCACATGGTCCTTTCACAATACATATTTATTACGAAATCAACTTTTATCAAGCTATAAGCTGAATATTCCTAGCTCACAATAATCAATTTTGTTGCACGCGAACTTCTGGTCTATGTTTCCAAAGTTTAATCCGAAACATTTTGTAACCTACCTAAGTTCGATTTAAACGAAAAACATACATATACACAAACCATAATCTGTATATACATATGTAGGTAGCTATTTCGTCTCTTAATCGTTCTGCATAAAAATAAAATAACGAAAATAAAAAAAATGTTCGCCAACAGTGTTTACATGCGTTTGTGTTTATCGATCTAAGCAGAAATCTTTTGTGCATAAAAAAATATAGGATTTTTGATATTAGGTACTTTTGAGATTTATGATGAGATTTACACAAAAGATAACTTATTTTTCGTTGTTAACTACTCTTAGGCTATAAAAAGGCTATGAATGGACCAAAAATACAAGAAGGGACGCTTGACTATTAGGTACCCATTATTCTGGAACAGCAATTGTAATGGATGTGCAAAATTGTTATAAACTATTAATTCACTGGGTAGAGGTCATAGAATACATTCTTTTATTACGATTTACATTCCTTGAACAGGTATGTTTTAACATCCAAGCTATAAAGGACGAGTTACCTCTGTGCCTTGTCCTTTTTATGGCTGGAACTTTTGCCGGCAGCTCCTGCCGTGCCCGGGTAGCTCAGTCGGTAGAGCATTGGACTTTTAATCCAAGGGTCCAGGGTTCAAGTCCCTGCTCGGGCGAACTTAAATTTTTTTGCTGTCTAGCCGTAGATAGTTTTTTTTAGTGGTTGCAACCTTAAAAAATTAATTAATGTGTCGTCGGCCAGACCTTACCTTCGACAATACAATTGGCAACGCGGCTGCCAGCAATCCAGTACATATGAACTGCTTGATGTCGTTAGAGTGGTGCATCGGCAAGGCAGTTTTATGGCGTTCGAGTCAGAAGCGCGGACGTGTGTTTGAGTTTCAGACGCAGTTGCTCCGACTGGAAGGTTGGCAGCTTCTGTAATCACGCTTCTGTGAGGTCCGATTGTGGGATGGCCTGAGGCTGGGATCTACTGTGTAGCGGACCAGCTCATGTTGACGGAACGTCCGCACTAAGCTTGCCATCAATATGGGTGCCATGGAGGAGTCCGCGGCATTCAGGTTGGCTAAGGAGGGATGAACCGGGCCAGGGGTGAAAACCAGCAGCCAAGAGTTCCCGTGGTAGGCAGTAGTGGGATAGCGTACCGGAGTGAACTGCCGTTATCAGCCCAACCAATATGGTTGGACCACAATCTTTTTGCTCTTTTTTTTTGTCGTAATATTTTTTTTTTTGCTTCTGCGACCTAATTTGTTTTAAAACTAACCGAATTATTTTTTCAGTTATTTGAGGAGGAACAAATGAAATTAAAAAAAAAAATAAATGCTCGCCCGAACAGGGACTTGAACCCTGGACCCTTGGATTAAAAGTCCAATGCTCTACCGACTGAGCTATCCGGGCATTCAAATGCTTGCGGCCAGAGATCCTTACTTCAAGCAACGCAAATTCCTTTCCTTCCATCCAAGATCGCTATCAAAACGACAAAGCGTGTACAAATTAAAAAGTTTTTGTATTTCGATTGTGTGCTTTCATTTTCCCATTTTTAAAAACCAATGAGTATAGGTGCCCATATACATATGTACATGGATTTATTAGAAAGTATTTTTAAAATATAATGGCTTAATTGAACCAAGAAAAAAAAATTTTTTTCGAAATGTTAAATGCCAGAGTAATATTGAACTATATCAGTAAATTCAAAAATAGGTTTACTCTGTACAAATAATTTAAAAGCATTCTACTATTTGCATTAATCCGTTTAGATGCTTACGGGCAAAGATCCTTTCTATAAGCAACGTAATTTCTCTTCCTTCCCATGCAAGATCGCCAAGGAAAAAACAAAGCTCGTACAATTTAAAATAGTTTTTATTTTTTATGCCATAGTCATACATGTTTACATAGGTGTTTTGTTTTTCTTTATATTTGTATGGTTTCCGTGGATTCATAGTTGAAGTGATCGGATTTTTGTTTTTGAACCGTTTTTGTATAATAATTGCCTTGGCAATCGAACCCAGATTAAGGTGATACATACATGAGAATTTCATTTAAAATTAGTTGGTAACTTTATTTTTACATGGAATGCAGTTAAACTTCTTGCCCCCTTAACCCTTAACCCAAAACTTCGAATGGTGTTCCACTTAAATCGGCTGTGAAAATCACTTCATTTCGGTTCCGACAAATTGCATTAAACAAACAGTTGAAATGTTGTACAAACTAAGATTGAACAAATGTACAAAATGGGAAACAAAAAACGATTAAATAATTTGTGCTAGGTATTTTTTGTTTGATTCTCTCATTTCCATGGTTTTGTTCGTTTCGCTTTGCCTTGCTCATTCTGATTTGCTTTCTCTAAAATTTGTCTTGCTAATTCGATATACATAATTTAGGCTTACTGGCTAGGTTCACATAGACTACCGATAGTTCTAGAATGCACTAACCTTAGCTTAGCGAAAAGTACAGCATAAATAATTACTTTACATTACGGTTATGGGTTTGCTTTAGCTTTAGGCTTTAACAATTCTCGCTCTTATCAAATTTCGTTGGCTTACTGTACGATTAACTACGCAATTAAATTTACAGACATTGTTGAGAGGCCGTTGAATAAATAATGTGGAAGGGTCAGTTGCTGATCTAAAGAAAACTGCGATTAGCTATAGCAAGTTCTATGCTGAATTTGAAATATTTTTCTTCCTGTTTATACTCCGAATTTGTTCTTCAGTGGCAATTAATCAAAAACGATTGAATACGATCGATAAAGTTAGTAAAGCATTTTCAAGCTGCTAGAGCACTTTCAACAACACAAACGCAAACATACAAAATAAACTGAACAGTTGCAGATATTTCCGAATTTCCTCTCAAGACGAAACACAAACATAATAAAAGGCGACCCCGAGCCGGGGTGCTCCGCTATTTACAAACTAAACAAAGCCTTATGTGGTTAACTAGAGTAAGGTTCTCTACTAGCTAGGAATTAAGTACACTCTTTAGGACTCCCTGGAGGGTGCGGGTGGGGTATTGGATGGGAGGGGGATCGGTTCTGGGTGGGGGAGATACGAACGAAGGACTAATGTTAATTAGAAATCACTTTGAAATTATTGCAGATATTAGTTTTGCTCAACTTGACAGCTCTGTCTGTTCATCTGTGCAGCTTAGGGCTAAAATTAAGCTAGGCTTACAAACTAACAGCTTTTCGAATACTGCTTAGAGAAAGAGATTCATCATACTGGAAGGACCACGAGCACTCGTGGAGCCATAGAAACCAAGTATATCACTGAGTTCCCACATTCGAGAGCGATACAATGCATATCCGTACGAACCAACAGCAAGTCAACATCAAATATCAACGTGATATTGATCCATACTGACATGAACAATTCCATCTTGGTTTGTGAAACACAGCAAAGATACTTGCTCCTCTGGCTGGTTTGGAATTTTGTTGGTCTCAGCTCGACTGCCGTGAATTGCGATTGCTCGCGGTTCCGCCTCCAGTATCATAAACCCAAACGAACCAAGCGGAGTGGCTCGTTTCTTAGCTTAACACGAATCAGTTGCAAACAAGAAACATCACTGGATGTTGGTTGATCGACGGGCGGCGACAGGCGGTAGGCGACGGGCGGTTGGCGGGGCGGCAGGCGACAGGGGGGCCGGAAGGGGGCGTGGCAGGCGGACTCAGGACTCAGCAGCAGTACAAGTTGCAGCCGACGATGTCCGCTTTGAACTCCAGCTGCAGCTCCGGATCGGGCTCACAGTCCGACTCCAAGAGCTGCTCGAAGCCCCGATCCTGGTTCCGATCCAGGGGATTATCCCGCTGCTGCTGCTGCTGCGGCTGCTGCTTTAGCTGTTGCTGCTGCTGCTGCTGCTGCCTGATGATAACCTGAGATCAGAACTCCTGCGGATACTTGATGCAGTCGGTCGCCTGCGAGCCGGAGGCGGTGGAGGCGAACAGGGAGTTGGGCCCGTTGCCGTTGGGCAGGCCACCTGGCCCACCCGCTCCTCCACCACCACCGCCCACTCCCACTCCCACGCCCACTGAGCCACCGCCCACGGAGCCGCCGTCCTGCGACTGGTAGCCGCTGGCCGCCGAGGCCGCCGCCGCCGTCTGATATGGTTCCTGATACAACTGATTGAGTCTCTAACCAGTACCCGAAAAGTGCCACGCGTCCTATGCGCTCAGGTGCGCGAACTGCGACGGATGGATATCGAACTGGTGGTACGGGTGGCCGTAGGGGCCCATGTGGTACGGCACGATGTTCATCGAGGCCATCTTGTGCTCCTTCTTCCACTTCATGCGCCGGTTCTGGAACCAGATCTTGATCTGCCGCTCCGTGAGGCAGAGGGCGTGCGCGATCTCGATCCTGCGGCGGCGGGTCAGGTAGCGGTTGAAGTGGAACTCCTTCTCCAGCTCCAGCGTCTGGTAGCGGGTGTATGAGGTCCGTTGTCGTTTCGTCTCGCCATTGGCATTCACAGTACCTGGAGGGACGACAGAGGGATAGATTGATTAGAGCGGTTAGCAAAAGTAGAAAGGTTTGCAAGTTACAGTGGGCGGATTACAAAATAATTAGAAGTTCAAGCAAAAGCAGCATATTGTTTAAGATCTTATTTACCACTTCTTATATTAATATAATAAATACTATACTATTTAACATACAATCTAATCTAATCTTATTATTTTATTGATACTTCGTGAAGAAGCTTACCTAAACAAATTTAAACTACCCTGCTAAAAATGATTACTTCTTTTTAAAAGTACTTTTATATGTTTCTAACTCAAAATCCCTAGAATGCATTTGTTTCTGCCAAAAACTTTGTAAAGGCGTTCCTAGGCAATCGTCAACGTTCAAGTGGACAACACCAGACCGTTTCCCACTCCCCTCGAGCTTTCTCACCGCTTCGAGGCAGTTAATTTTCTCATTTATATTGTGATTTTCTGCAACGTTGCGCATTTCATAAATATGACGTGTCAAAGTGCCATTTGGTGGCACCCGAAAAAGTTCATACTTGGTATTGTGTTTTGGCCAGAACGGAGAACGAGCAGTTCGGCGAAGGCGAATGTATCTCGCCCCAGACAGATGTTTGTCGCTCGCCGAAAACTACAGTGTCTTCCCCCTTCCTTCGGAATCCTGTATCGGCAATCGCGGAAGATAATGACAATTTCCCGTTCTTGGCAAGTCGCCCCCGAAAACTTTTCTGTCATCTGTATCGGGGCTTTCGTTGGCCAAACTGCACGAGGGCGTTCAAAGAGCGTCGTTCGTAATGAGGGGGCGTGCTATGCCAAAGTAGACTTTTTAAAAGCCATTTACCGTGGCGTGTTATTACGGCCAACTCAATTGGCCCGCCCGCCTCGCTTTGTTTTGCTTTGTTTTGTTTCGGCTCTCCAATGCGCGGCAAGAGTTGCGGCGGTTCTGCCAAAGACACTCTATCTGTATCTCTAGTATTTATATCTGGGAAATGTGTGGCAGTCAGTCAATGTGATAGACGGCAACCGCTGACTTGCCTGTGCGTCCCTCTCTGATTTCGAGGGGACTGTTGTCTCGCTTGGTTCAGAGTTCCACTCGCTCTATATGGGTCATGGCCCATTTGCTAAATGGGAAATAGTTTGGTGCCTAGAGTGCCTGAGGCAGTCGGTATAATTCAGTAATAGATTATGCACAACAACTATTGTTAATCGGAAGTCAGACTTATTCAGTTAGTCTGAGTTGCCGCCCCTTCTTATTGATGTTTTATAAATGGTTCTCCTATTAAAGTTTTATATAGATAAGTATTAAAGTTATTCAAAACATAAATAAGAATGGTTCGCTTGGCTTGCTAATTGACACTTTTCCTTGATATTTTAAATGAATCTATTTATTTATAATTGAATTAAAGCTAAGTACGCGCCGCCTGGCCTTCCCAAAGACACAAATTTAAGTCTCGGCTGGCTTTAAATAAATTTACGAAAAGAGGACCGCCCACACTCGCTTCCGAAAGTTTTCCGCTGTCACAGTTTAGTGGTCTTCGATGTGACGTTGGCGGAAGATGTCAGGTCACATCAATCAGCGGCGAGAACCTAAATGGAATTCCTGATTAAAGTTGAAATTAATTACCGCTCGTTTAATTAAAGCGAGTTCGAGTGTGGCCAGAAAGCGCCGACATCAAAGCTCCTGCGCTCCCTGGCTTCGGCCTCCCTGGCTGGCTGCCATCCTGAATGGGCTTAAACTAATGACCAAGTAAACAGCGGGCAGACAGTAACCAGACAACGGGCATCGGCTCCATCAGTCATGCGGATCGGGCGGCAGTAGAGAGGACTTCGGTCTCTCAGTTGGCCAACTGTTGTGGCCGTGGCCACAAATTGAATTGCACCAATCTTGACCCATTTTGTTTTGTCAGTCAGGCCATCAAATGCGATATTGCAAGTAATATTTCTGGCTCGCCATTAGAGGACTCCTCTCCTTTTTTTGGGTGCAAACTTTTGCCGAAACTTGGCAGACTTCCGGCTGATGCATGATGTGCAGACGTTTCTGAGTGCTCCTTACTATTTGATAAGCGGGGATCCTGACCTTGCCCATGCGTCCGGCCAAATCGATACGTCCTGTGGCCACACTCCTGCCAGGGGTCACAGACAGCTCTTTTTGGCCATTTCCCATGGTCTGCCTGGCAGCGAGACAACAAAAGACAAGCCGAACACTTGCAATGCCGCCAACCATTTACAATTGTCAAATGCCGCTGTCATATGTTGCAATTTGTTTACACCACTCAAGGGCTGAAAGGAGAAGCGAGTGGAGGAGCACTGCGAAAAGTATCTTTGGGATGCGTGCTGGGGACTCAAGAAGAGTTCTTGCCATCTGATAAGTTTTCAATTTAATTTAAATGGATATTAGAAATGCTGTATTGCAGATTCTTATTTCATCTCTCCTCTTGTTATGACTAAATTGGCCCCTTCATCTCGAAGGGAAGGCATCATCGGCCACTAATTCCCACTTAGATTTCATTCGATTTCCGACTAAAGATCAACACGCATCCGCAACCCGTTCAGCCCGTCGAGTGTCAACACTGCGGTCTCTTTTAGCCGTATTTTCTTTATTTTTCGGTTAACTACATGCGAGTAAGCAGCGCATCGCACCGCTGTCGTCATGGCCAGGCGCAATATCTAAGGCGAAAGCCCCAATGAGTTGACAGGGCAGGGCTTCATCCAAAAGCAGCCCCATGCCGTCCAAACGGCACCTGGCATGTCATATCACTTGCGCTTATATCACTTGCTGGGGGAATCGGGGGAGAGGGGCTCGGATCTCTGACAGCGCCAATGAGCGAACATTCGAAGCGTTTTACAAGTTTGTTCCCATTTCCCTGCCACCTCGGTGGGATGGGATGCCATGGGATGGTATAGCATGGTATGGGATGGTTTCGAATCGGATCGGATCGGATAGGGATGCCAGCGCACCAGACTCGCGTTGTATCTTTGTCTGCGTCGGGCATTCGTGAAATACTATATAGACATATTGGATTTTGCATGTACGAACATATATGCGCACATTTTTCTGAGACAGAACGCCCCACGAATGAAGAATCATCTTGTGTGTGACTTTTTGTAGTTTCGTACTTATAGAAATACCCTTTTTTAAAGGGTAAAATATTTTCAAAATATAAGTAAAATAATTTTTGTTTTATTGGTAATTATATTCCTTAAATTTCCCTACTCTCACAAGATATTTAATATTTTAACGTATTAAGAGAAAAGACAACAAACTTCGACTTGACTTTGATATTTTTTAAATTTCTCTAATCTCGTTTGATTAGGAATTTAAAGAAAAGCATTTACACTTCGGCTTGATGGTGAATTCCCCGCGTTGTTGGTCATTTCATTTGCATTTCGCGCAAGATGACGTCAAGTGTACTTGGCTAAGAGAACTCTGCTGACAGCCGCTTAACATATCAGTTGGAAATTTGAAATTTTTGGTGCATCCCATTTGGGATTGGGCCTGCATGCAAAATCTGTTGCAGAATTTATTAAGTGACGATCGGAGCGGGTTGCTTATTCGATCTCAGTGTCAGCGGATCGGGGATTCTGCAATTCAAATTGCCATTGTCTGGCCGGGATGTTTCGTGTCCCTTCGATGTTTCGTGTCCACTTCTTTGCATACTCCGATCGTCCTGTGATTGACACGGGATTAGCATACTCGACCCTCGAGTGGATGCCTTGTAGGTTCAAAGTTAAGCTGGAAACCTTTGGCGTAGGTCGGACACCACGGTCTTTCGAGCCGAAGTTTAATTGTTTTCTGCTTGCCGCGGCGCAAATAGAAATAAAAAACGACAAAAAGATACTTGCGGCTTGTCACAAACACTTGTACCGGTCATTTGTCAACGGTCTGGCGTCTGGTCAGGAGAAAAAAAAGAAAGAATACAACACAACGACTGAACATCGTCATCGTAATCAGCAACGTGTGCGGCACTCCGAGATCCCAGCACCTGGGATCGGGTGGGTTTGGTGTTATATGGGAGTGCGGGGAGCACGATCATCTGGCGGCCTCGGTTTTGATCTTATCGTGCAAAAACAACTTTGAACTTGTTGCACTTTTTACAGCGAATTGTAAGCCTTACACAGAGGAAAAGTGCGAAATAACTTATAAGTTTGCATAAGTCAAATCGAAATAGAAGTAACTGAATGAATGGGAAAGGAAACTTATAAACATACAATACTGGACTGTTTTTCTGTTCCGAACTAATGCGGGATATTTCTCCCTGTGCAGATCTGCTGAGTCAGGTTGTTGTCCACTCGGAAAGTCCATAAATCAACGCACTTCCGATCGTCGCAAGAGATCGCTGGCTACTTAGGGGCAGAGGCCTGTGGCTAATGAGTCGTTTAACCGAAAACCATTATCAATGTCACAATTCCAGGCGAGGGTCATTACTCATAAGAAACGAGCGAGTGAGGAATTCTGTCACAAATTGAACTAATTAAATACAACAAGTGATCTTGGCCAAAAATTACGAGCAGTTTTGAGGCTCTCCGAAACTAAAAATTCCCTCAAATAAGTTTCGAACCCGAACGGTTCCAGAAATAAATCAGACGGAGGGCCAGAGGTGCCACGCTTGAGGTCTGCTGGAAGAGATAAATCTTGGAGGGATATAGAATGCAGATGGAGGAGTCAAAGGGGCCGCAGCGCGGGTTAATTTCTTTCGGAAAAAGAGAATTAATCAAATATGCGGTCGCCGGTTCGGTTTATCCGGCCGTGTATCTGTATCTGTTCCTCTATTCGGCAGGCCGTATCTTTCGCTGTGCGTTGCTGCATTCCTTAGGTGATAAATGATGCTGCCCGGCGGTTCGAGTCACTTTGTGTGTGTTATTTTTGGGGGCAGGCGACAAATGATGTGACATTTGTGATAATGAAACCCCCGTCCCCTTCTCCATGTCCACCTCCTCCCACTCATTGCAATCCAGCACGCGCTGGACAACAGGTGTTTCGGGTCCATCGATGTCCACAGACCATTAAAGA